CAAAGTGTTAGCAGTCTAACCCTTCCAATACTATACCACACTTCAGTTAAAAAATATCCTAGTACACGTATTAAGTTGCCCATAATATTAAAACGGGTCAGTAAATAATGAAACTTGGATCTTAACCTAAAAAACAATAGTAGAATTTATAGTTATCCATGACTATCGAATGCCGAATTCGTTCATATAAAGATCGTAACAAGTTATTTTTATTTACCAATAACAAATTATCGGGTTGTGACTGAAATGTTTTTCATTTTCATAAATCTTCAGCAATCTCATAAGTTAGGTAGTTAAATATTTTCTGTTAGGGATTATGATTTTTGCACTCTACTCGATCTTGTCAAATTTGTAATATTCTTTATTTGTGTTATCTTGACAAAAATACCTAAGTTGTTAAATTCACCTGAAATAACAATCAGATAGATTAGAAACCCTTTTGGTTAACTACCGCTCTTTCATTTTCACCGCACTGTAATACCCTATCTATTACGATCTATGAAAAAAAAACAAAAAAACAATCAGATAGATTAGAAATTTAGAATTCACCCTGCCATTAATATTTAATATTCCCTTCACTATATAACCTTACAGCCTTATAAAACGAATACAAAATCGATACCAAAAAACTAAAACACGAAAAGAAAAGAAACAAAAAGAAGCAGTGGACAGTGGAACACACGATATATATTTGCTTTTCTTCCCCTCGCCTCATTCCTTTTTACAACTCCGACTCCTCCTATTGACACCAAACTCTTCTCTCCCCTTCTTTCCCGATCAATCGATCTCTCCTTTTCTCCATTCCTCCTTCTCCCGATCCTCTCCGCTATATATTTCCAAATATCCTCTGCCTCTCGCATTCTCCTCTCCTATATTCTTTCTTCCCAATATTATCTGCGTTCGAATCGCACAAAAAAAAAGAAAAAGATATGGCCATGGCAATGGCAGCAGGCTATGGCCAAATCCCCTTCGACGAGGAGATGCAGAAGAGCTTCCGCCCTCCCCCGCCCTTCCACGACGGCGCCGGCGACGGAGACCACCACATCCTCAAACCCTACAAGAAATCCAACCGCCTCGTTTCTCTCGACGCCTTCCGTGGCCTCTGCGTCTTCGTAAGTCCCCCTTTCTCCCCTGCATCTGCATTTCCCCCCTCCATTCTTTTTTATTTGCGTTTCGAAACTCAGGCCAGTCCGTTTCGATTCATCCTGCTGCCCCGTTTTCTGTTCCTCCCTTTCCGTTTGGTTGTTGAGAAAACGCATCTCATCTGATTTTGCCGTTTCATCTGTTAGAATTTATGTTCTTTCCTGGTAAATAATAATAATAATAAAAAAGCAGAGCCTGGTAAATTGTTTAAATTTCTTTTTGCATATTTCGTGTTCATGAATAGATGACAATTGTAGAGTATGAGCTGAACTTTGTTTACTTTAATTAGAAGCCAAATTGGAACAATTAATGTTTAATTGGGGTTAGTATTGTACTCAAGGATATTACTGATTACTTAATCATTAGTTATATACTTATTATCGTCTAAGAGTAAAACTTACCGTGCGATAAGCGAAGGTAACTTCGTTAAAAATATATATTACTTTATTAATCCCGAGAGAATCATTATGGGTAGTCGTTGGTTGGCCTAATCCGACGCAAACTCCGTCCTAAGTGAGTTTGTTGCCGACATTTGTTTATGCGGCAATCGGAGGAAACGGAAACCCTGCCGACCAAAGCGACAGTCTAAGTCCAATCGCCTTGTGCCACGTGTACCGCCGTTCGGGGAATAACGGGGGAAGCTCTGGTTTCCGCGGGAAAAGATTCCATTTTCTTGTACTCCCATCAAGTAAAGCAATTGGACTATAGAGCCCACCAAAAAGAAATTCCGTCGTTTGTCATCGATGAAATCGCCGCAGTCTTGTTCTGCTTCTACTTTCTCCTTCGGATTAAGACTGAAGGAGAAGGGCAAAGGGGACTACTACTGTGACGATTTCAAGCTCCGGTGATGGCAGAGATTGTCCCGTTGCTCGATTTGCAGCCGGAGGGCGACGGCAGGCTGCCTCGGTCTGTTCTTTAGATGTCTTCCGCGGTATCTGTGTCTTCGTACGTGCTCTTACTTTCGATTCGCAGTTGTGATTGGTCACTCGATCTGGTTCCGATTTGTTCTTCACTTGCTCAATCTTTGCTCGTTGTGCTCTATCGTGTGCTGATTTGGGGTTTTCTTCTTTGGGTTGTTTACAGCTGATGATAGTGGTCGATTATGGAGGTTCTGTTTTCCCAATAATAGCTCATTCGCCGTGGAACGGACTACACCTGGCGGATTTCGTGATGCCCTTCTTTCTTTTCGTCGTTGGTATCTCAATTGCCCTCGTCTACAAGGTAAATCCCCACTGTCAACGTTTTAATTTTTCAACCTCAAGAGTTGAAAGGATTTGCGAAGAAAGAACGCCTGTGATAAAATGCTTTGCTTCCATTGTTCCTGTTTCACAGAAAGCACCAAATAGACCAGAAGCCACATGGAAGGCAGTGGGCAGAGCAGCCAAATTATTTCTGTTGGGTATTCTTCTACAAGGAGGTTTCCTTCATGGGTTAAACTCACTCACCTATGGTGTTGACTTGGAAAGAATACGTTTGCTAGGAATTTTGCAGGTACTTTAATAGCAGGGTGCCTGTTTATATTAAAGATGATGTTTTGCATGATTTATCTTTTGTTCATTTGCCTTGTCCTTGAAGCCATATGAATGGCAAAAGTTTGTTGCTTCAGTAAGGTTTTGCCTATGGATTCTTAGTGTTTTGTTGTCATCATTCAAGCCAGAGAATATCAATTGGGTACATTGTTGGAGCTCTTTGTGAGATCTGGCTTTCACGTAGAACAAGGAGAGAAGTTGGAATCTTGAAAAGCTACTACTTGCATTGGTAAAGTTCTTGGCTTTTGTTCCCTTTTCTCCTTTGGAAATCAAATATCTAATCCTTGTTTCACATGAATCTTTCTACTTCCTTCTTTCCTGTCCGTTAGTCAAGGGAGAACAATGTTTCTGTTCCCCATTAATCAGGCAGTCTTATACTCTTTCATTGATAAAAATAATTGACTTTTTCCATTCTTCAGGTTTGCAGCATTTGCTATTATTGCAGTGTATCTCGGTTTGTTATATGGCCTATATGTTCCAGACTGGCAATTTTTTGTACCTGGAGAAGGTTACTCGGATCTTCCACTAGATGCCCATGAATACACAGTATGAGCATGCTCTACCTTCTTCCTGATTGAACTGTTGGAATTCGTCTTCTGATGTAACTAGTACAAGAATTTACTGAGTACTTGCATCACGGATGCAGGTGAAATGCTCTGTAAGAGGTGATGTCGGTCCTGCTTGCAACTCTGCTGGAATGATTGATCGCTTTGTTCTTGGAATCAATCACCTATATGCAAAGCCTGTTTACAAAAATCTCAAGGTACAATTATTAGGGAACTCTGTCCAATTCGCTCATTGTTACACAAGAGATTGATAAACTAACACGGAGTTTTCAATGGTCAGGAGTGTAATATCTCGAGCGATAAAGTAGTCCCAGAGAGTGCTCCTTCATGGTGCCATGCTCCCTTTGATCCTGAAGGACTTCTCAGGTGACCACTCTCATGTCATTTTCACTTCACTCTATTGGAATCTTACGTTGTCTCATCTGTAATAAGCATGAACATTCTTTACCTTGGATCCATTTCTTTTACAGCTCATTAACAGCTGCAGTGACCTGCTTAATTGGGCTTCAGTATGGTCACGTTCTTGCTCATTTGCAGGTGAGCTTACCTGCTTGTTTTTTTGTTTACCCTTTCTTCCTTAACCATCATAGTTTGTCGTGCTACTTGATTTCTTATAAAAAAATGTGCTTTTCAGGACCACAAGGGGCGTCTGGAGAACTGGTGTGGCTTCTCCGTTGCTTTTCTTGTCCTCGGATTATTCCTCGCCCTTTTAGGTACGTTACATGATCACTGCCTCGCATGAGTATTCTGTCATTATTGAAGACCCTGTAACTTCTTTAGTCTTCACATTTCAGGGTTCCCCATCAACAAACCTCTCTATTCTATCAGTTACATGTTGATCACTTCTGCGACAGCAGGCATCACATTTTGCGCGTTGTACTTGTTGGTAAAACTCGGAGATCATAACATTGCTATTTCTCTAAATTCAACTTAGATAATACAATTCCTGGGATCTGTTATCTTATCCCTATATATCTCGGGCTTGTAGGTCGATATATACGGTTACAGATGGTTGACATTACCATTGGAGTGGATGGGGAAACATGCTCTGAGTATTTTCATAATCGTATCTTCCAACTTGGCAGTCATTGTGATTCAAGGATTTTACTGGAAATCTCCGGAGAATAACTGGTAGGCCATAACTTCTATGATTTAATTGGTTCTTATCAATAGTATATCTAGTTGAATATTATCAATTAACATAAAGCTCCACCATTTGGTTTGACACAGATGAACTGCATTGTCTCGCTCTTTGTGCATAGATGAAGACGACTTCGGATTTTGTTTGGTGGTTTGTTTGTGGGTCCTCTGAGGTGGGAGCTGCAACAGATTCATACCGGTGTACTATGTACTTTGCCTCCCGCCATGTCCATCAGCAGCATCAAGGAGGGGGAGAAGGAGAAAGTAAGTGCTGTATATTTGCAGAGTAAAGAGATAAGGAGTGACAGATCTCCCTATGGGTTAATTCTTTTCCACAGGAGTTGGCTTGGTTCACTAGCCATTATAGTTCTGCGGAGGGTTTGATGGGAAAGGAAGGACAATGACACGTTTAGTTTTGTCTGATATGTACAGTAAGTAGCATTCATGAAACCTGTAGGTTAGAATTATGTGGGTAGCTAGCATAAGCTGCAGGCTAAGTTCTCGTAGCCATTATGCGATCGACCTTTGTCAGGTGAGATAATATAGTAATGACGATTGACCGAAGTTCTCATATTTCCAAAGGTCTCAGATACCCCTTCATTCAAACGGTCTCATGATATGATCACTTGCGCTTCAGAGCAACGTACAATAGATTCTTTTCACCATATCTTGACTCTAAAACTTGTGCACGCTCTGTGATCTTGTCAATCGTCCCATCAAATATTATGTCAGCCAACTCCTTTCCAAACTGCATTACGAATAATTCATCTAGGACACCCCTCAGTACCCTCACCCACTGTGTCGCGTCAACCTTCCCCTGAAGCCTCACCGAAACGGAGCTTGTCAGCTCCAACTCCTCGATGCTGAAGCATCCGTCCCTTTCAACCAGTTCTCTCATCTCCGTTGGCCGCGGATAGTATAAGGGCAAGTTGAAACTGTCCAGCTGGTCCTCACTCAACACCCCCTGCGTTGTGCACCCAGATAGATCACGTTGAATGCATTGAGTTGAGTTAGGGTCAAGTCCAGTACAAAAAAGGTTTGAGGCTAGGTATCAAATGTAGATATACCAACCTGTCGAACAAGATCCAAGATGCTGAGGTTGATGCAGTCGAACATAAAGATGCTCTGCATCTCAGAGTAAGGCGTCTCGTCGGGTACCCCACCAATAACAATCACAAGCATACCTCCGCTAACTAGCTCCTGACCTCTTGCCTTCAGGAACCCTTCCATGTCTCTCTCGAACTGTGACCTGTAAGCATCCACCACTTGTTGCGGTGCCTCGGAGAAATGAATCCTTCCCCTGTTCCAGGCAGGGGATCCTCTGTCACCCACTTCCGGCGGCACCCTCGATATCCAGTGGAGGGACATGGCGCAGTGAGCAAATTGGAGAGACGACCTTGGGAATAACCTATTGAAACAGTGTACAATAATCGAATTTCGGAATAGATGCTAATAATATACGTCAGTGAATATTAGCAACACCTTGTCTCTACCCACCACAACGGAACAATCTACCTTCCATGGAAAGACCCTGGTACTCCTGCGGCGAAGTAGACCCTCTCCGGTGGGAGGGAACGAAAGAGCGCATTGAAATCGTTGTCGATCTGGTCGTTGAAGAAGACTTGGAACTCCGGCGGCGTTGGGTGATTGGAAATGTGGTATTTGTGGCTGACTTATTGGATTATGTCTTGGACATTGAAGAATGTGTTGGGTCCAATGGCACATCCGAGATCCACGATTCGGAATGTGTTGCAGGATGCCATCGTGACGTCCAAGTCCAGCTTCTTAGAAATCAGCTCGTCGATTTTGGACTTCACTACACCCACAAACTTCCTCTGCAAGAACAGTTCATTTTTTTTTTCAGTAGGCCTTCAATCCCATACTGGACAAAAATGAAGTTGTTTTCTTGGAGAGGGTGTTACCTGGAAGGAAGAGTTGTTGGAGTAGTTGTAGGAGCTAGTTCCAGTAACCATAGTGGGAGAATCTGTGTCCGGAGAAACCATCTTCTTCTCCTACTTTGAGGTCAGGGTTAGGCAAAAGGTAATCAGTAGTTGATGTGGATTAGCATTACTTATAGTATGGGTAAATGAAGTGAAAACTGCAATGGCCACTCCCTCACTTGTGTGTAAAACTAATTAAGTAACTGAAAACAAATGGCTTAGCCGTGACCAATCATGTAATAAGATACCTACATGACAATCTAGTTATGCGGCTGATCTTATGATTTGTCTGCAATAGTTGACTTAATTAGGCCTCCTAGATTAGCATCATCCAAGAAATATGCTCATAGAACTAGGCCAAAAGAAAGTGTCAATTTTTTTTAATCTTTCATGTAATTATTGGTCATGTTGCTACCAATTAAACATAAATTTCATTAACCATGGAATAAAATATCTTAACCAAACCGTCCAAATTAATACGAAAGCCAAATTAACCAAACCAAAGTTTAATTGGTTTGGTTAATCGGATAATCGGATTAACCAAATAACATAACATTACATGAAAATAAACATAAACTATCTTTTTATATAAGCAATAATAACAAGACTAACCGCTGGGTAGTTTACAACATTCTTCGATTTAATACATCATTCATCATCTCTGCACCTAATATAGGTAGTTTACAACAAACCAACATAAATGCATACCAATACCAATTCATCAGAAAGTTAAAGCTCTCCTAAAAAAAAAATTTGACCAAACTGCTGGGTGGGGTGGCGGTTTGGTCCAAATTTTTTTTTTCCGATCAACTCCTAATTTCGGCCGAGACTTCAAACGAACGTAACTTTGCACTAGGGTATCCGATCCTAGCGATTTTTTTCATTTCGCAAAACTTTTTAAGATCTACAACTTTTACTAGGATGTAAATTTCAAAACAGGAATTAGTTGTGGATATACGGTATTTTTCGTGTAAACCGTAGGGTGGGGTGGCGATTTTTGAAAGAGGGTGGTAGGAATTTTTTGGAGTTGGGTGGTATTTTTGGAATTCTTTTTTTAAATAGTGGTACTTTTGGATTTTTCCCTAAACTATACATAGTTTGAGGTGGTTGTCATGGTATTGTACGCAATCCTAAAGTCAAGTTGTTGTCAAAATATTTTGGTTTAGTAAATATAGGCATGCCCATTTAATTTTTGACCCATAATATTTTGGTTTGTTGTGCACATGGAAATGAAATAAGGAATCACGAATGTTTGGTTTGGTTGGTTGCATGGAAGTATAAATAATTTTGTATATTAGGTGTATCATTTATTGGTTAATTGGTTTCATTGGTTAGCAGTGTTGAAACCAAACCAACCCACCTAAACCAAATAAGCTAAATTGTTTAACCAAACCAAACCAATTATCCAAATTAACCAAACCAAATAAACCGAATGCTACCGGTTAATATGGTTACCACGGTAACCGATCCGTTTGAACACCCCTATTGCTGTATTTGTGTCATGAATTTGTGATTCAAATTTAAAGTTTGATTGATTTACCTGAATTCTATTGTTTATTGGTGAGTGTCAAATCCGTGGAATTCCGGAACTTGGACTTTTTATATCGAAATATGTGGGTCGTCTTATGAGCTTGTAAATCTAACATATTATGTTAGAGTTTGATTAAAAAGTTATAGGGCAAACATATCAATCATAAGTTTTAGCGCCATCCATTTTTCTCTTTCACTGGTTTTCGTCTTAAGGAATCAGGGTAATTACAAAACCATTTTGGTTAGGACCCACTATGAGTGGTAACACATGGCTTAGTCTGTCCGCCATGATTTTTGCAATAAATTTGTAGAAAACTTGGCATAGTCCTATAGGTCGCATTTGTCTCATGTATTCTGCATTCGGAACCTTGGGAATCAGGGTAATTAGAGTGTGGTTGGAATTATGGAGGAGTCTTCTTGAGTGAAAGAAAGACTGGATAGCCTCACACAGTGAGTTACTAATATCCTCCCAATAGGTCTGATAAAAGAGTCTTGTGAAACCATCTATACCTGGAGCCTGATATACTAAGATAGTAAAAGTAACTCTCTTCATTTCCTCTCGAGAAATCACGGATGTTAAGGAGGAGTTCATGAAGGGATTCACTTTACTGACAAGAACCAGGTTAGTCACCATAGGTAGGGAATCTACTCCATTTGACGTGAAGAGTGGACAAAAAGTCAACAGCTACTGAAGCTTTACTTTGTTCATTTGTATGAGGATATCCATTATCGTCTTTAAGAATTTTAATAATGCTTTTCCTCCTTCTTTGAATAGTGGATTGGTGGAAGAAATGGGTATTTAAGTCCCTTAACTGGAGATAAGTCGTTCTCGACTTTGTTTCCAAAAAATCTCCTCTTGTAGAATGGGAATTTCTAATAAATGTAATGAAAGCATTGTGATTCAGTTATCAGTGGATCAAATGGACCCGCTCTTGTATCACTACTGTCTCCTTCTCGATAATCTTGAATGGCTCAAGGCAAGGGTTTTTCAAACCTCAGCGGGGACAACGTCTAGGGGACCCTCTCTCTCCAGTATTATTTGCCATCTACACAGAGGCATCTTCGGCTATGATCCAAGCCGCTATCTCAAACTATTCTCTACATGGGCTCCACGTGCATAGGGACCTCTCACCTCTTTTTCGTTGATGACTCATATCTCTTTCTTAGAGCCTCAAGACAGGAAATAACAAATTTGTTGGATTACTGCAATCACACGAAGCGGTCAACGAGTTAACCTACAAAAATCGATTGTTACCTTTAGTTCCAATATCTCTGACGAAGAAGCTACAACATTAGCAAATGCTCTAGGAGTAGCCAAAATAGGGACCCATGATCGATACTTAGGGCTTCCATAAAAATCCATCGATCTTAAAGTCCTTACCTTTCGATATATTGAGGACTCTTTAGCGGCTAGGATACAGAACTGGAAATCTAAACATATGTCATTGGAAGCCAAAGAAGTGGTGATAAAATCGATAGACTTAATGTCGAAGACCTAATAGCCAATTGGCCCGATTTTGGTGGGCTAACCAAGACAAAGACAAAGAAATGCATTGAATTTCATGGTCTGAAGTATGTAATAGTAAATTTGAGGGAGGTCTGGAATTCAGAGACTTCGATCGATTTACATAGCCATGTTAGCTAAACAAGCCTGGAAACTATGAACAGCTCTAGACAATACATTGGCAAAAATCTATAAAGCCCGTTATCACTCTAATGACCATTTCCTAATGCTAGAGCAGGATCTCGTCCTTCTTGGACTTGACAGACAAGGTATCTTTGAAGGGAATAACCTTCTTAAAAAGGGTTTGTGATGGCAAGTTAGATCATGGTCCTCAATATACATTATACATGCTGAGGTAGTGGAGGTGAGATTGATGGAGCAACGAGGGATTTGAGTTTTCTTAAGATAACTAGTGTGAGCCCCGGCCAGTTGGCCGGAGGAAGGTGAAGTATGAAATTTGAAAATGTAATGAGGTGTATAGCTTATTGTTGTATAGTTTTTTTGGGAAACACGTGATAAAAATAGTGAATTTTAGTAGGAAAGAGACATGAATGATGCAACCAATCAAAAATCGGTCTTATGAACCAAAATCAAGTACCTGTTACCTTTGAAACTATATTGTTTCTGGTAATATGATGAGGTGGAGTAAGTTTTATAGAAACCGAATTCCAGAAAATCGAATAAAAAATCGCCTATCCCGTCAGTTTTCGGGAAATGAGCATCTCACAATCGTTGCTAGCTTTTACTCGGCCCGTTGGCCTATTAATTTGCTTTATAAAACTTTCATCTTGTCGTCATTGTGCTTTCTGATTTTTGTCAGGCCATGATAAAATCTAAGGAAATCAAGAACGAACAACACGATTTGGGATAGGAACCGCCGTTGTCGTATCCCTATAAATGGTGGTAAACACGAACTCACCTCCCAAACTGGTTTGGATTGAGATTTTTATCGGGTATCAGGGAACCATGTGAATATAAATTAGACTTGATCAAAACGGGCCAAAACTTGAAATTCAGCTTGTTTGACCGACCCATGCAAAATTCTAATTATTCTTTACCTTTAAACTTTCTATTTGAAATAAAAAATAGTGAAAGAAAAGAGATGACTGCAATTCGCCATTTGCACATCACTTATTCGGGAATAAAACCATAGAAATTCAAAAGGAACTGAAAATGTTTAGGATCGTTTTAATGTTTAAAATAACCAAATAGATCTTTCTGTTTAGTTTTTTTACTAACAAATATCAAACGATTCCCTATAAAATACACTATAATTTGATCATTATGATATCAAATAATTATATAATGTATATTTGAAATGATAAAAATTGGACTAATTGGGTTGGTCGAGGTTGAACCATTGAATAACTTTAAATACATTATATTTTAGCCACTAAGATATAAAATAATAGCATAATATATATTATGCCAGAGAAAATAGTTTGTTTTAGAATGACAAACCAATGATGTTCATTTATTTTACTTGATGGCCAAATCCCGTGTAGGCCAGACCCATTCAACTATTTTATTTTATGGTTAGCGGTTAGCCCATTAGATACCATGTATTAGTTTATTATTAAATTTTTTATTTTTAGCAATAAAAAGAAGTATTATTTTTGCCTTTTCATATATATTTTATCACCACGGAGAAATAAAAGGGTTTAAAGAAAAAAATTGACACTCCTGGACCCGTTCAAATCCGCATGTGTACGGTAAGTTGGCCTGTTCCACAGAGGAAAGAGAAAAAATTGACACTCCCTATTCTACCCTTACTACAAACACTCCTGGAGCAGGGAATTTGAAATGGGGGAAATTTTTTTTCCTCCCTGCTTATTATATGTTTTTAATTTAAAAAGATACAACAAATGTAAATAGTGAGATTGGTTATGATCCTTACTTTTCTTTAAAATGGTCATGGTTCAAATCTTAGTATGTGTAGATAGATTGAGTTTATTTTGAAATGTGTAGATAGATTGAGTTTATTTTTTCTAATTTCAAGATAATATTTTCTAATTTCAAGAAATATGTGAATAATAATTCTACCTCACTACATCAAAACTTTTAAACCTAGTCAACTAACACTTTAATTAGCAGACAACTTCTTGCCGTTAACTACTAACGGTCAACACTAATAGAAAAATAGTTCAAGATAAAATTGTCATATCGAATAAATAGAACACAAATGACAATTTTTTTTTATAGCTGAGGTGTTTTAGTGGTATTAATCTTTTCATTTATGATTGTTATTGTTTCTTTAAATTTTGTTCTTATAATTTCTGACTTCAAACTATGTATTAACTAAAACTAATCTTCCAATCCAAAATAGCAACGCAACTAATAGTTTCTTAAATCCAACAACGATAAACTATGACCGAGCGTGCCACCCTGTAAACATTACAATGATGCAGCAAAAAACATGTAATGGAACAAACAAAAACCCAAAATTACATTCTTTCAGCTCAAAACATACATCTTCACGATCTCCCTAATTGAAACTTGTCCTTCACCTGGGGTACCTTGCCTTATAATCCCTCCAAACCCTATCACGTTTCTTCCCTAACAGCTCCTTAAAATAGTCATCCGAGTAACCGTTTTTCATCTTCCGGTTCAGCTCCCCAACAAACCCCTCCTTAAACTTGCCACAATACTCCAAGAACCGGGCCGTAACGTCATTCCCCTGATCCCACCTCTCCCCGTCCCCGGCCGGGCCCATCCAGAACGACTCACCAGATGAGCTCTCATCCTCACATAATCGGCAATCCCACTGACGAGTCCCGCTGGAGCCTGG